ATATTCTTGAAATGCTCGGGAGTATTTCGGCCATCATGATATCCAAGTGAACTTAAAAAAATCGCCTCCTGGTCTCCTCGCCTCATGAAACAGTCAAATGAAGGAGCCAAACTAAAAGCCCAACCAAGGAAAACAAAAGAAACCTCCGCCTTCTTGTAATGCAACACACCTGAGAGCACTTTCTGAAGACATCCATCTGCGCTGGTTTCTCTGAGAAAGTGCCCTAATTAAAGCTATCCTCTCTTTCAAACTCACCATCTTGAAAGTTGAATTTGGCACAAAAATCGTTATCAGATCCAGTCCCTCGCGTTTTTTCTATTAGGTGTCAGGACAAGAATGTAGCGGCGCCTGAACCAAGCCTTAGCAATTTAAATTCATGCACTTAATAGGACCACGAGCTTTTCTTTATAGGTCCTGATACACTTGCAATACTCGGGAATATTTCGGCAACCACAATATTCCAGTGAACTTAAAATAATTGCGTGCTCGCGATAAACTCTATCACGGAACAATCAAATGAAGGAGTCACTAGATAAGAGCACACTTATTAAGAGTGGCTAATAATATCACGGCCACATTTTCTTCCCAAAAATGCTACATAGAGGATGACTATAAATAAATATAAATATACGTATGGTAGCTTTGTTTTTGAGCAGTTATTGATATGAATAAAAACCTTTTGCCACCACGTTGAACACAGAGGACCTGCTGAAATGAATGACGTATTCTTTTTTTCGCGCAAAAATCTGAGTATAGCTCGCTTGCCTGTTGGGAAGTTTGGTTCCTAGTCTTCCTTGGTTTGAAGACGCTCAATATAAAACGCCTGCGGTATTTTCTGAAGCTATTTTCGGTTGTTATGCCTCATTAAATATGTTTCCATTTTGATCCATACATTTTTAGAGTATGATGCTTTTATGTATTTCTTCACGGCTAATAAACTCTTTGGATAGAAGCAATATTGTATTAACAATAATTGCGTTTTTACTCGAAAGAAACAGTGCAACGAGAATACTCCTTACGTACAGACATGGAAATAGAAATAATATACATATGTATATAATATATATGGCTCGGGCGGTACAAAAGACAGAGGGAACAGTTTTTCCCA